TTTAATAATCTCTTTATTTATTTAGTCAGACCCTATAGACTCATTTTTACATGTCTGATTTAATCTAAAATCAAACCCTCTGACCTAAGATAGGTTTTTCTTCCTACTCTGGATATTATCATCCTCATTCTGCAGACTGGGGTCAGAGGAGACAGAGTGAATTTAGGTCACATGAGAGACAAAATCCCCCCCTGGCACCAGCCATCTCTCTCCAGCTCATACTTATGAAACTCCCTTGCTTGGTTCTCTCTTTCCGATAACTCCCTTCCATTCCCACGTTTACTCCACTTGGAGGGAAGCTGGGAGGTATGACTAAAACCTTCTCAACAGCTGCTTGTCTGGACTGCTTTCTGTAGCTCATAGTTGGTCCAAACATCTTTTCTGCTTATGTAAGGCCTGTTTGTTCATGATTGGAATGCTGATTGGTCAGCTTTCTGCTTCCCTGCTGCATTGCTGCAGTGTCTGGATGCATCAGAGGCGGCAAGTGTGTCAGTGTGTCAGTCCACACCGCCTGCCCTCAGTCGGCGATGGATCCAGGCTGGTATCCATGGCAACTTTCCTTTGCGAACAAAGCTAGCTACCCCCTCTCTGTCCCCTCCTCTCCTCACTGAACCAGCTGTGGGTGTCTCCTGTGGCCATTGTCTGCTTTTTGTTTTTGTTGTAATCATAAATCCCTGCGAATCTACCTGCACACATGTCGTAGAAAATGAGAGAGAAATGCTCGGTCAGAGAGCTGGATGTGTGTTTTTATTTTTTTTATTCATGCAGCAATGGAGGCGCCTGTCTGAAGGAAGAGATACCCAGAGAGCGACGAGGTGTGGCCCCACACACACACACCTACACACATAAGTTCTGCTATATGTAGTGAGGACCATGTGTTGGATCCCACTGACTTTCATTTATTTTCATTCATTTTCAACCCTTTCTATGCCCTAACCCTAAAACCACACCTAAATCTAACCATTACCAATGCATATCTAACCCTAACCCCATTAACACCTTAGAACCAGCAAAATCCTCACTTTATAACAACTGCTCCTCATTGTGATGGTGAAAGTGGAAAAATTGTCCTCACCATGGTTCCTATACAAGTGCACATAGAACCACTGCATCAATCCTCTTTGAATATTTTCAAACCTGCCACTGATTTGCTTACATCATCCTGCAGATTCAAATCATCCTGGGCAGTTAGCTGCAAAGTTCTGTGTCATCGAATGCAAAGAAGCTGAATCGTGTTTTTCCATCCTTACCTCACCTGGTGAAGGCATCCCCCACTTTGAGATTTTTTCACTGCACTTTGGTTTAGAAGCCAGATAAACGAGGCAAAAAAAAACAAAAAAAACATTCAAAACCCTGCAGGAGAAGGAGGTGGAGAAATTTAGTAAAGAGGTGATCAACAAAGCAAATTGTATAAATAAAGTGTAAAAAAAACAATTTTTAGCAATAGGATATCAATTGCAAAACATTGCTGCACATAAAGTGATTTAGAAAACAATCAGTAGTTTATAATAAAGGGATTTAAGCCCACAACAGTTTGCTAAAACAAATTAAGAGATATTTTTTTGTAGAAATATATTCAAACTAAATATTGTCCGCACTAAATGCGCTCAAGCATCTGCTCTATGTGAGCTATTAAACAAGCACTAAAAATAAAAGCACAAAATCAAAAAAAGAAATAAAATAATATACACAGAAGAAACAACAAACTCTTATTAAACCTATAGAAACTGTTTTTAAAATATCTTATTTTTGCAATATTTGCCTGCAGGTATTATTTTTTCTTCCTCTTAGTTAGCATGATTTACTCTTAATATGGCCATTTGATAGGTATTAAGAGGTCGTGCATTTTATTTTGTTATTTCTTGTTAGATTTAGTGTTTATGTGTGTTTCGCATCAGACTTATGTACATACTTGATTATCAAAGATTGTGTCCTGTGCTAAAGGCTGTGTTATATCCCACATTATAATAGCAATCTGTAAATGGATGAAAACCCTTAGATGCAGTTTCTGCAAAAAACCCAAACTCCTGCCTCTCTTTCAAGGCAATAAGAGCTTCTTCAGGTCTTCAATGTTAGCTAACAAAAATCTTTACTAGGATTCATGTTTCCCAATAACACAGCAGATAGGGAAGTGATTTTATTACAGAAGGATGCTGGGGGTACAAATGCACCCAGATCTAATTTGTCTGAAGATGTTCTTGTGAGGGTCCGCTTCGTCCAGACAAATCAGAGAGGGGAAGGTGGCATAGATTACCTTTCGGGATCGGATTTCTTTCTGTTTTGCAAACCTGGATGCATGCGGAGGTAAACAGGAAGCGCTGTTTTCCTACAACCTGTTACTGCCTGGTTCCAAACATCGTCACAAAGAGCCTTTTATGGACAGCTTTCTGTTAAACAAAGTAATGTCACCTGGGAAGTCACAGAGCTAAAGGTGGGCAGACATAAACAGATATGTGAACTTTACTCAGAGTGGAGCAAATCTCTCAGTATTTGCATGCAGCAGAATCTGCACGCTTGTCATGGGGATGCAGTCACCTTAACCACAGTGTCAACTATATATTACATCTCTTAGAGCTGCATTAGGCCATGAAGCATTTCTGCTTTGTGTGTTTTACTGCAGAGAGCGTACCGCTGGTTGTTGACATGGGGCCCCCTGTATTTTGTGAGCCTCAGTATTTGTGTGTTCGAGGGCATGTTCATGGAGCAGTGTGATCTGTTTGGCCTCTTTGTTTATGAAGCTGGGCCCTTCCTGGACTCTGATGAGCACGCTCAGGCCATGAATGGAGCTTTGTCTGTGGAAACACACCCACCCGGCCCTCATGATTTTAATGCTGAATCCGTCGGCTTCAAGGGAAACTGATATAATTCAAACTGATTCCCTTCATATGACTAGATAATTATTTTGAGTTTCATGGCATGCTTGTGTTTTGTTCTTAGCTTTATAAATCTGTAGCATAGAAATGTGTTACTGTTTACCAGAGCCAGTCCCAGGTAACAGCAAATAGACCCACTGTTCAGGTCCTCCGGGCCAGCAGGGGCCCCCCCGAGTAAGCTTTGGGATATTTATCCTAAAATATTGAATTTGCAATCATTTAGGATAAATATTTGGGTTTTTTTTAAAATAAGAAATAACTTTTTTGTTGCTGTAAAGTATTATAAATGAGACATTTAAATTTAAAACATTTAAATTAATCCAAAATGTTAGCTAAATAATTTCTCCCGGATGTGTCTGGTTTTAAATCATCCATCCATCCATTTTCTGACACGTTTAATCCCAAGTGGGGTCTTGAGGGGTGCTGGTGCCTATATCCAGCCATCTACGGGTGAGAGGCGGGGTCCACCCTGGACAGGTCGCCAGTCCATCGCAGGGCAACAGAGAGACAAACAGGACAAACAGCCATTCATGCCCACACTCACACCTAAGGAGAAGCCAATTAACCTAACAGTCATGTTTTTGGACTGAGGGAGGAAGCCGGAGTACCCGGAGAAAACCAACGCATGCTAAGGGAGAACATGCAAACTCCATGCAGAAAGACCCTGGGCAAGGAATCGAACCCGCAACCTTCTTGCAACCTTCAAATGATTTGGCTTAGCTGCACAACCCTGGTTACAGTTGCAGGTTTTTCTAACATGCTTTTTCCTTCCACTTATTTTTCTGTTAACATATCTGGATACGGAAACTGATCAAATAGATCTTTAACACTAGCTGTGTTTCCAACGCAAAAGGTGAGCAAAACTATGTAGACATTCTGCTAAATTTGAAAAAGTAAAGTTTCCCAATTATGGATTTCCCATTAAATACTAAATACAAATAATTAGATAAGTTGAACTTTATTGATATCACATTGTAGAAATGTACTTAATTTAACCCCTCCCCTTGGGGAGCAGTGGGCTGCCTTTGTGCAGCGCCCGGGGAGCAGTGCGGTGTTAAGGTCTTGCTCAGATACCCAGAGGGGCAGTCTGTGGGAGTGGGGCTGGAACTCAGAACCTCATGATTCCAAGCTCTATGCTCTAACCACTAGGCCGACAATCCCCAAGTAAATGTTTGTTTACACCAAAACTCTGAAAACAACATGGCAGGGGCAGATGTACAGTAAATCCATAAGACATATGTCAGCCTCTAATCCAGTGGGCACCATCATCCCCCAGCAGTAAGGTCCAGCTGCAGATCATGTGATGCGAAAAAGAGTGTTTCCATTGCAGTTTTGCAAAATATAAGACATTTCAATACGACTGAAAAAATCTACTCATCAAATCCCATAAAAAAAATATCGAAAAACATTTTTTTTTTCAAAATTGCAGCATTTTCATTTTTTATCTTTTGAGCTCAATTACTAAAATAAGTTTTTAGATATAAATTTGTTAAAATGTATGTATGAATAATGTTTGCATAAAAAAAAACGTTAATAACAAAGAGGAACATTTGAAACATTCATAATCTTTTTTTTTTTTTTTTTGCTGAATTGCAGTTCATTCTCCTGACTCTGTATCAAATTTTGTTCCACTTCTGTAAACTTTTGATTTTGATTTAATTCAGAATCCCTCCAAGTAGCTCACCCTCTTCATTTTTCCTCAATCTTTTTTCCCTCCACTTAACTTTCCCCCTGCATGGATGCAGCCCTCTGCGGGCATCCTGGTGATATTTTGTGGTTTACATCATCATCATGTTATTTTAAAAAAGTCCTGACTGGACTACATATTTTAGAACCTTAAGAAGCTGAATTAAAAGTTTTATAAAACATGCTGATTTTTATTTAAGGTTTGATGACTTTAAATTAAATTGCACAAATAAAATGTAAAGTTTTAGACATGGTGCTAAAGAGATGGGGGTCTGATCCTGGTTAGAGGACACTGGACCTCGGAACCGGCCTTGGAACCAACAGAACCTCAACCTCCATCTCTTCTGTTCCCAGATTTTTTTAGGATGCTCGGGGAAAGGCGTGGTTTGCAGCTCTACGTCACTGATGGATATATAGGCTGCAGCTGTGGCGTCGGGCTCGCGCTGCTGAGCAGATCACAGAAGAACCGGCCGGCGCGCGCTCACACACTCACGCTCCCCCCAAACAAAGAAGCACGCGAGGCAGCAGAGCATCCCACCCTTTCGGCCCAATCTCAGAAGCTTTCTCCCCCCCTCCCGCAGCCCCCCCATCCCAAATCAGAACCGAAGCCCCGACCATGACAGCCAACGGTTCGACTAACGGAACCAGCGACATGCTGCAGATCCAGTTCGGTCTCATCAACTGCGGGAACAAGTATCTCACCGCGGAGACCTTCGGCTTCAAAATTAACGCGTCGGCCACGAGCATGAAGAAGAAGCAGATCTGGACCCTGGAGCAGAGCGGGGATGACTCCAGCGCCAACGTCTTCTTCCTCAAGTCCCATCTGGGTCGGTACATCGCTGCGGACAAGGACGGGAACGTGACCGGAGACAGCGAGAGCCCCGGTCCGGAGTGCCGCTTCGTCATCACCGCCCACGATGACGGCCGCTGGTCCCTGCAGTCCGAACAGTTCGGCCGGTACCTGGGCGGAACCGAGGACCGGATCATCTGCTTCGCCCAGACGGTGTCGGTGGCGGAGAAATGGAGCGTGCACATCGCCATGCACCCGCAGGTCAACATCTTCAGCGTGACGCGCAAGCGCTACGCGCACCTGAGCGACAAGGTGGATGAGATCGCCATCGACCGGGACGTGCCGTGGGGGGTGGACTCCATGATCACGCTGGTGTTCCGGGAGCAGCGGTACCACCTGCAGACCTCCGACAACCGCTTCCTGAGGAACGACGGCGCGCTGGTGGCCACCACGGATAAGAGCACAGGATACACGCTGGAGTTCCGCTCCGGGAAGGTGGCCTTCAGGGACTGCAGCGGCAGGTACCTGGCTCCATCCGGGCCCTCAGGCACCATGAAGTCCGGCAAGAGCGCGCGGGTGGGGAAGGATGAGCTGTTCGTGCTGGAGCAGAGCCACCCTCAGGTTGTCCTCACCGCGGGAAACGAGCGGAACGTCTCCACCAGGCAAGGTGGGTGAGGTGGTGCAGACCAGTGCAGGTTCTCTGGGTGTGTGAGTGTGTTGGAATGTGACCCCCCCCCCTGCTTACTGCACATCCTAAATGATCCATGCAGGATATGGTCCAATCACACACTACAGTGGCCTCTGTGTTATTGCCCTCTGAACAATGGCCTGAACCCACCAACACATGCAAGGCTCAGTGCAAATGCTTCATGGGTTAAAGCAATAGATGTTAGGAATAAAATCCTTATTATGGAGAAGTGTGTTCAGTCAATGGCTAAAAATGATCAAATAAGTGCAAGATGGGTGAGTGGTTCTGGTTTTTCTTTAGTTTCTGTTCTAAAATGGACCAACATTGAAAATTTAAATGCAAGTCTGCATCCAAATCATGCTCCTCTCCATTGTAGTTAAACTCAAAGCACCACAGCAAATGCTGCACCTAGAGATGAATAACTGGGTTGAGGGTTCCTTTTTTTATTTCAGCATTCTGCTTTCTTTCAGTGTTTGATATCCCAGTCAGGGTTTGATGCATCTCTAGATCCACTCCTTGCATTCGATTCCAGCAGCGAGGACCTGCAGTCTTTTAAAGAGGACAAAAAACTTCAAAAACATCCTTAAAATTGACATTTTTAGCTAAAGGTTGTCCGACTTTGCTTCTATTAAAGGTACAGAAGAGCAAGAACAGACTAAGATGTATAGATTTTTACATAAAAAGAAAAACGTACAGAAGTTTTGTGCTTTTTACTTTTAAGTACTTTCTTTGGGTTGTTTCTAGAGTTTAGTTAAGATGTATTTAAAGATTGCATTTGGTCTGCCAATCAGAAATCAGATCATTCCAGGGTTTGGCTGTTTGGTTATCTGGGGATCTATGAAGGTACACAAGGGTTGAACTTGACAATATGATTGGAAAGGTGAAAACTGGACACTTCAGATCTGAATTGATGGGTGGTTTTGTCGTGGGTTGCACCGGTTGAGGTTTTCCTGTCAGATATCCTGTATTCTTTGAGGTCTGAATTGCTGCTTCTAAATTTAACAGGGGCTTTTATGCATTAGAACTGTGCATTGGGTACCTCTTTAATGGCGATTGGGACTTTGAGCCAAACACTGGAGCTTGGTGATGTCAAACTTACAAAGTACATCAAGGTGGTTGATGCATTTGTGACTGAATAGATTGGAGGTTGTTAGTTTTTAGGACTTGGATTGATCTGCTGATTGGTTAAAAATGTGACTGATGGTTAATATTGTCAGTTTTATCATTAAATTGGATAACGGCTGCCTCAGTGGCCCAGAGTGAGCTGATCCAGAGTGACTTGCTCTAAATAAAAATAAAGTTTTTCTGTAAGGACCTGGTGTTTTGGTCCAAGATGGCATCAGGAACAATGTTGGTTTAAGATCCATTCAGGGTCCGTCACATCTAATAAGATGTACCTGATGGCACCAACACTCAGATCACCACAGAACACTTTAAATACTCACACTGAGGCTTATTTTCACACCAGATGTAGCTTTGTGTCTGGGTTTCAGCTGTTTAATGTGACACAGACACAAGATTATTCCTCCACCTTCTTCCTTACTCAGCACGTAACTTTTTCCCATCTTGAAATTTGTACCTCCTTTTTGAACCTCTTCCATTCTCGTCTTCTCTCCTCCCCCAACTCCTCCCTGCTCCCCCAGCCTTCAGACCGGCTTGTTGTCTCCAGTCTGCATTGTTACCATCCCTCATGCTGAGCTGTGGCTCTTCTTTGGGAGCTTAGATTTGACTCTGGAACATCTAAATAGATCGATTTAAATGCACGATCAGAGCAAATTAGATTCAGCTCATTGATTACATCAGTGGAAATGAGACGGATACGGGGGAATTGCCTGAAAGCAGTTGCTTGCTGCTGAATGTAATGAGTGGCAGGAATGTGTGAATGCTCTGGGATGTAGCTGCTGTACAGTCAGAGGAGCTACCATGTGGTCTCAGTGGCTTTGGAAACCATGATCTGATCCATCATTTTTAATTTTCTGCTGCCAAGTCTCCCTCACGCTGGGAGTGGCTCGCTCTTTCCATCTACTTTGTTTACATGTCAAGTATATTTCTCAGCTTTTGTTTCCAGCAGCGGCCACAGCTCTTTCTGACGTGGCCTGTTGTCTCCGGCACAAAATGGAGGCGTGCTAACGGAAGAGAGGGTTCAGATCAAAGGCTGCACATCTTCAGTGCTCTCTGGGTGTACGCTGTTTTTGTTGTATTCATCTAGATCTAATTGCAGCGTATGCCATCCTGTCCTCAGAAATGGTGCCTCCCTTGGCTGCAAACCTGATTTAGAACATCCCATAGTTGGCTGTTAAACCTCATCTTGAAGGGATACTACAATGCAAAATTGCAGATAAATTATGTCCAAGTCTATTTGAATGGTGTGTTTTGGCAAAGTGGTTTAAAGTTGATGCCCCAGAGGGATTGACTTTGGCAAATAGCAATTGTGGCGCCCCTGGTAAATGGATGGAAACGCCCTTTTTGAAATGTCAAATAAAAGGGATACCCCACTAAAAACTTTAGAGAAACCCCAGTCTTTATGAGTGGAAGTACATTTATTCAGGGGTTTAGGCATCTATTGGCTGGGAATGAAGAGAATGGTCAAAATAATTTGCATCAATTCTTTAAAGTTATTATAGAAGCTGGTTTTCCCAACAAGACAGCACTTAATTTTCATCCATAACGTTTCACAAGTTGGAAAAGAGCTAGAAGGGTCTATTAATTGCTACTCTTTACATCCCATCTACATTTGCAAAGGTTCTTGGTAATTTTATGTTGACTTTGCTATTATCTTATGACTTCCCCCTTTTTCAGTGTTTGCATTTTATTAATGACTGTCCTCAAAGGTTCCCCACAACCTTTGGAAGGGAAGCATGTCTACAACATCCCAGGTTCAAACGGTGGCCATGTTTTCCCCACATAGGCCGCTGTTGACCAACCTGGAGTGTTTTTAATCTTGAAGCTCAGTTTATATCGCATTTTACAGATGAGCACAGCCCCAGTTTAAGTGGATGTTTACATTTAGGACCGTAGGAAAGAACATCTGATAATTGAGACAATTATTAGACCATTAAGATGCTGCTCTTTGCCACTGTGCTCCGAGATGTTTGGAAACTTCCACTTTACTGAGGCTAAATATGGTCTTATCCAGGATTGTGGCTAAGAGAAGTTTCCCTGAGACACTTTAGGAGACCTAAGGAGAAAAAGTAATCCATTACATTAAAGTTCTTGAACATCTTCTACATTACAAGGAGGGATTGAAATTAGGAAATACCATTTTAGGAACTTCCATGGACCTGATTGCAAATGATCTTTCATTTGATCATGCATGACCTCATTTAACAAATCGCAGCTTTAACCATTGGCTAATGTGGCTTTTTTTTTTTTTTTGAATTTGTTCTAATAGTCATTTTCTGCTAATAAAAATGACATCAGATGTTTTAAGGGTTGTTTTGTATTTTTCTTTTTTACCTGGCATAGTGTGAACAGAAACCTAAATTAGCCACCTCATTATTTTTTCTCTATGACTACTATTTAAAAAGTCGTGTTTTTTGCATACTGGTTGGTGTGATCCATAATGTTATTTTTTCCTTGTGAGGGTAAAACCCTGATTTCCAATCTTAGAAAAGGTGTCATCTTTCTGTTAGCACTAAGCTTTTCTCCCTAAGGGTAATTAACCCCATTGACCTGTATTGATTTTTGCACATTCTAAACAGGATATGTGAATCCCTACAGGAATATCGCACTCTTCCCTCCAACAACTGGATGTTAGGGATGAGGATTAAATGCTGAGAGGAATAAAACCGGCTCCAGATGTTCAGCTAACATGCAGCAGCTCAGTCAAACTCTGCGTTGGCTGTTCGCCCTACTGACTCCAAACTGAGCCAAGATGGCGGTTTGGAGTCTGCTGGGTTTCATTAGCAGTGGGAGGTTTTAGACATTAGGGCCAGCTCAACTGGGTCAATCCAGAATCTGTTTTTGTCCTGCAAAAAGTAGGGATTTTGTGTTTGGTCTCTTTTAGTTTAATCTACATGCATTTGGATCTTCATCAATCAAGGGTCATTTTTTTCAGTTGGATATTTTCTATTGGATGGAATCTGTATGAAGCTATAAAATATGTATTAAAATGGCATCAAAATATACATTTTCCTCTGGTTATAAGAATTCATTAATAATTTGAATTGGAAGCAATGGAGCTGTCACACTGAGAGCAAAGTCTGTAAAAACAGGATTCTTCTTAAAACAGGTTAAATTATTAGAGCCCTTTCAGTCCTCATGGAGAAGGAATAAAAATGATGCATTTGTTTCCATTGGTAAAACTAAGAGAACAAACCAATATGCAGTAATGTGTTTATAGAGGCTCAGGTTGGTCTGTTTGTATGGAGCAGGCCATCAATCATAAAGGAGCCTCTCCTCCTCTGACTTCTGCTTTATTATAGGTTGGACTTCTGCTTGGCTCCAGTGTGTCAGGCTGCTGAGGGTGTGTCTCCAATCAAAGCTGACTTCAGAGTCTTATATTGGTAGTTAAGCTTGGCTCGTATTGGAAAACCTGCACTTTCATAATGTAACTTCTCACCTCGGTTGACCCAAGCCTTACGTCTTCCATGACGGAGACTGAGGGCTCAAAATGACGAAATTGAGCAACGTTGCTTTTTTTCCTCTCTTATGCTATCCTGTTCTATTCTATTCAGCTTATTTATATAGCACCAATTTACAGAACATGTCATATCAAGGCACTTTACAGTTCAACCAGATCATACAGTTGAACATATTAAACGTTTTCTAAGGAAAACCAGTTAATTGCATTGACTTGAATGCAATCGCTCACACCAAGCATGCTTGTAGTGACAGTGGAGAGGAAAAACTCCCTTTTAACAGGTAGAAACCTCCAGCAGAACCAGGCTTGGTGTGAGCGGGCATCTGCTGAGGCTGACTGGGGTTCAAGGAGAAGGACACGGGATGCGTGTGATTTCATGGGCTGTGTCTTCCAAGGA